AGGGGGGAGGGGGGAGCGGGGGCTTGCCACCTTTTTAGTGACAGGAATTAAACTCCCATGCTTGCAGTCCATGTCCTTTCGAGTGTCCAGTTTGATCTATCCTAAGCTGATCTGTGCTGATCCTATCAGAGTTCTTACTCAAGCCTGTTTTGCAGCCCATGATGATCTTATGAAATCAGATCTTTGTGAACATAATGAAGTGTCTTAAATGAAGCCTTATGTTTTTAATATACATGCTGATTCAATTATGGTCTAAGATTTGGTGGTTTTGAGAAATTTGGTAAGGTTAGTTTAGGTTTTATTTGATGCAGTTTTAGGTATTGATAATCCCATGAATAACCTTTTTAGTAAATACTCTCAGTTCTTTCAGGACATTCTGTCGATATATTGCATATTTTCTTAGTGAATTTATAGTCTTGTTGAGATTTTTTAGCAAAGTGCTGAAGAAATTAGTGGGTTATGTTCTCTGATATGTGATTCTTATTTTACTACTAGGGGTCGTTTTTTTTTTCTAGAAAAGGAACTTAGAGTAAAATGAATGCAATGTATAGTAAAATGTACTGTATTTAAAATATTTTTGAACTGTTTTGTTGAGTCACTATAAATGTAGAAGATTATTTCTTGGCTTGAAATAAAGTTAATTCATTATAAGACTCTACGGCTGTAGTCGTGAGGCAGCTGATAATTGTCACCGATGATAATGTTCAACAGTGATGGCAGGCATGGAGTGAAGCTTTACATAGCCATGATTAGCTACTATCAAGTAAAATATTTGGCTTCTCACAAGTGGTATTAGAGCTAAGTTGCTACGGGGCTTGTGATGAAAGGTTCATTTAGTTTGGAGTAAGTCTAAAATGATCACCAACAAGGCAAGAAGCAGAATCTCGGGCAAGCTTAAGGTATATGTTAGTATCATTGTAGGCTGATAAGGGTTTGAATCCTACATAGAGGAGTTATCATGGGAGATGCAAAGCATTCAAAATGTTGAAGTGAATGAGTTCCCAAAGCAGGAGGATGACTCTGAAGATTTTTTGGAGGCCATGAAGAAGAAGTTGAATGTGCTCATGGTGGAGCTCTTTGTGTTTGAGTTAGCACACTTGAGTGGGATGAACTTTGTGGATGTTGCACTATGGGGAAGCTTTGCAAATGATGAAGCTTGAGCTAAATTTCATTGCTTGCACATAAAGGTAATGTTCCAGAACAAGTGGAGTTCTCAAAGCTCTTAGATAACATTGATGAGTGAGAAGATGACAAAATTTTTAATTTGATAGTCCTTGTGCGGTGACAACACTCGCTTGCCCTTCGTGAGCATCTCCTGTAATAATTATGTTTAAAAATAAATAAAATAATAATAATAATATTAAACAAAGTATGATTAAAATAAAAATAAATAAATATCAGAAGTTATTAGGAATTGATTTTTTTTTATCTTTTTCTTATTTTTGTCTTTCCTATTTTTTGTAATTCTTTTTATCTTTAAGTAGTTATTAAAAATTGATTAGTTGTAATCTTAGAGATATAAGTATTATGTTTTTCCTATTTTATGTCTTTCTTTGTATGTCTGGGTGGTTATTAGGAATTAATTAATTATAATCTTGGAGATATAGGTGTTATGTCATTCCTATTTTAGAATTCATGTGAGCTATATTTATATCCCCTTTAGTATAAATAAAATATTCCGCTATATTTTCAAAACCTACAATAAATATTTTTCAAATTGGTGACATTGGCTCAATGAATTGTCGTGACATTCTCGTTTACGAGGATATTGGATTGCAATCAGGTGACATTGGCTCAATGGTACAAGGATATTGGATTGAAATCAAGTGAGAATTTCTCCATTTAAAGCTATGATAATGTTTAAATTCAATTGAAGTCATAAGTATTAAATATTATTCTAATAAATCAATTTCAGGAATCCAATTAAAATTGCACAAGTTATAGGATCGTTTTAGAAAGTGAAATCAAAGTAAATAATTATGTTTTTAAGTTACAGTAATATTTCTTGCTTTTATTTTTCACTATTATGTTTTATATCAATGAAATTAAATCACATAAAATTATTATATCGTTACTCATAAGATATGCATGTTATATAATGTTCTAGTAGAGATATATGTTTGCTTATTCCATAACCATATATATATATATATATATATATATATACATCGCATTATTACTTGACCTTTAGAATTTTAGTAAATGTGCATATATCAGTTTATTTCATAGCCTATATATTGAATAAGATTGCATTTATTCATTGATAGATAGAGGTAAAGTATTTCATAAAGAAAGAATGAATGATATGAATAATGAAATAACGTATATATGAATGTTTGTATGTGCATGCTAAGACGAGTACACTTTCTTATGAAACAAGTAGGTGTGTGTATTATTTAGTTAAAACCCAACCGAACCGATGGATTTTGGTTGGTTTGGTTCGATATCAACAACGGATTTCAGTTTTAATTTTTGTTTAACTGAAAAATTGTAGTTTTATTAAAAAAATTTATTATATTTTAATTTCATGTCAAAAAAGCTATATATAAAATAGAAATAAAGATACAGATACAATGTGTGGGAGGGTCCACGCATGGCACCCTGCCCACACAATAATATATATATATATATATATATATTATGTGCAAATTTTGATTGAAACAAATAGAGGATACATAAAATTAAATTGGTATTATGTATATATGATATGTAAGTAATGTTTATTTTTAGCCAAACACCAGAAACACAATTAAATTTTGGATTAAATTTTGGTTTGGTCGTTTCAGTTTAATCAAAATTTAGATTGGTTTGGTTTTCCGGATTCAAGATTTTGGTTGCAATTAGTTTAACCAATTTTAAAACTGTTCCGTCCAAACTGACAAAATGCTCACTTCTAGGTACAGGCAAGGGATATCAGTTTACCCGCATGCTTAGATGTTATCTTACCACCTTAGATAATTTTGATGTTTAAATCGCTAAACATTGTGCTGTCGAGAGAATATCAGCCAGTGGTGAGTAGAGATCTTTCCACCTTTGACAATTTTGTAAATCAGATCACAAATAGTTGTGTCGATGGGATAATATCGGTCAGGGATCTGTTAGATTATGTTTTGAAAACGCTCGTAAGACAGATGTGAATGTAAATAGCGTGAAGTAAAAGTAAATTTAAAAATTAAACTTTGAAGAGTACGATTAAAGTTAATGTATATCTAAATTTATGTTATTTCGTTTGAATAAATGTCACACATATTGCTTTTTTTATTGAATAATTGTAGTTTATAAGTGTGATTGCTCTTGAGTTATCTCAGATAACTCATTTTGTTGCTTTAATATTTTTCAGTTTTAATCTTTTAAGTAAGATAAATACTAGAGAAGCTAATGTATACAGAAGAAGAGATCAAAACAAGAAAGGTAGATTTTATTTGTTAATTAAAATGTTTCTTTTAGTGGCTCTTTCAATTAATTTTTTATATTAAACTGTTAGTGATAGAATTAAAAATACAGAAAACTTAATTTTATCATCCAACAGTATGTTCTCAGATAGTTTTCAAGCCCTAGGCCGGGTTGTAAAATCTCCCTTCTCACATGCCCTCACCCTTTAGTGATTGCACTTATGAGCTTCATTTTGTTTCTTATGCTCTCCCTCTATGCTTTATGCTCTCAACTCACAAACCCTCTTACCGTCTGCCATGCTTGAATTCTAGATATGTGCCTTCTGCCCTCACTGTAACATTTTATTAACGCAGCTTGACCTTCCTAATGATTCGGTCTTTTTGCTCTCTCAGTATTTGTCACAACAAAGCTCTTTAGCTTGCCACTTCTATATGCATTTTTCTAAAACAAGCGATTTCCCTCTTGTGAAAGCTCCTTTAAAATCTATTGTGGCTACACGTTAAATCTCTAGCAAGACCACTTGTGTGTAGCATGACCACTTTCAACTTTCTAGTGCATTAATCATAACAAGTATTTGTGGCTACATGTTAAATCCCGCGCAAGACCACTTGGGTGTAGCATGACCACTTTCAACTTTCTAGTGCATTAATCATAACAATTATAACCTTCTCTAATCTACCCCTTCTTCTCTCTCTCTCCCTGCCCTCTATGGCACAAATTTTGCATCCTCACTTTCTTATGGTAGATGTTTGGGTGAGCATTGCATCTTTTATTATGATGTAAATCATGCCTCACTCCGACATTTGCCAAGCTTAGCCTTGTAAACCTGTTGATGTGAGAAAATAAATAAAAATAATAAGGGATGCATATTTGCAAACGCAATGGATGTATATCTCTTATACTTCCATCAAGTGATTTGTGCCTCACCCCACTATAGAATATGTTTACGTAAGCTTTGTGGCATTTCCTGCTATGTAAATTGTGCCTCAACCCACTATGATGACAGTTGGTGGAGCATTTTAGCCTTCTTGACAATTCCCTTATTAATGAGATGAATGCAACCAGCGGAGCAATTAGAAGGGTGAAGTAATTATTAATGTTCAATGAAGCACTAAGATGATAGCGAGCATGTTTTCAACCTCTATATGTATCTATCATTATCATTCTATATCCATTACACACTAAACTAAATTCATACATAAAGATGAAATTTAAGCTTAAGCAACCTCCTTAAGCAAAAGTCTATTCTGATAGTAAGAGGAGCCACCGACCATAAAAAGTCCCATTTTCCCTATTCACGCTTGCCGAATCTTGATTCACAATAAATGATGGAGATTTGGGATTTTGATTGATGGATCTACATCACTATGAGTACTTTCTAAGTAATCGGCTTGCTTTTGGACACTTAATTGGTTTTTACCATGCTGCATTGATGCAATGTTGAGAAGATAGTTTTGTTCAATTGACAAATATTTAAATGCTAAGCAGAAAATTTTTTTCTTGTGATCCATGCAAAATGTAAATTAAACTCATGTAATTATACTAGATGGTTACATATTTTCTTTTTATCTTTGGCCAGCTTTATGGGTATTAAGGTTTACATGAATTTTTTATTCTCTTACTTATTTTGTATCTATACCGAGTCAGCATTTCTTTCCATGCTAATTTAATCGTCAGTGAGAAATAATACTTTTTTCCCGTATGTCCTTAATATTATTAGGGAAATTTATCCATCTTAAGCTTACTTTTCTGCAGTATCCTTCATGGATCTGATTGATCTATTACATCAAAAGCACATTTAACATTGGATGACTATTTTACTATTAATGATGTCTATATTTTTGAAGGGTGGGGGTACATCTCTGAAGGCGGCTGCTATACCAGCCCCACGCCTGATAAGTACCCATGAACTAGAGTACTGTTATATATGTTCCCCTTTTCTCTCATTCATTTTTCTTAGACACCTGGTGCAAGTCTTTTTATTGACTTTTCTGAATCTTCTATTTCGACAGAGACTTCAGACCTCATATAGAGGTCAGGCGAGATCGTGAGACTGGAGAGATTTTTGAGGTCCTGGATGGTTTGATGCTTAAAGATGGTTACCTATATAAAAAAGTATCCATATGTTCACTTATTCACTGGGGTGTTCAGCCTTCAAGTGATGAACTTACAAAGTTTGAGGACATGGGTAATGATGGAGTTAAAGATGTTGGCTGGCTTTCGAGCATCTATAAAACACAAATTAAAAATAAGTTGCCCGAAACATCCCATCAGAAGAATGGAGAAAAATCTAAGCAAAAAAATGGAGAAAAATCTAATAGGAAAAATGGAGAAAAATCAAATCAGAAGGATGAAGATAAACAGAGAAATGGTTTTGAGATTGATGATTTTGTTCTATTTGGGTGAGTCATTATCTTACATTTGCATGGGTTGCTGATCGAGAAGTATTGAGTTAATCCATACTCTTTTGTTTCGTATTTTTTCTTGTAGGAAGAAAGACTGTGGTATAATAATAGACAAGGAAAATGACGTCTTCAAGGTTGCTGGATTGACCAATATGTTTTCTTTTCGTGTTTTGATATGGAAGATTTGACTATGTTTATCTCTTCAGGTTTTGAAAGGTGATGCGAACAGTTCCGAGGTCGTGAGTATTAACATTGGGGTAATAAAGAAAAACTGTGTCGATAAAGTTTTCACTGCTACAGACCGCGGCATGAAGACAATATTTATTGATGATGTTGTAAAGGTTTCAGAGGGGCCTCTAGAGGTAACTTGTGATGTTTTTAGGTTACTTTGCGTACTCTCTATATTTTTTTTGGTTTTTTTCAGTTTTGCTGGATGAATATTCTTTCTAAACTGTTGCTTTTAGCTGTTATAAGAATAATTTTAACTTAGCACCCATTTTTGAGCTTTGTCTACTCTCCATTGTTTCTCTATTGCTGAATTTCTGTTACAGTATGCGCATAAGCAAGCATGGGAGGTCAATATTTTCTAATTTAGTTCCTAGATATTTGTAGGTTTGTCTGTTTTTTGTACAAAAATTTTCTTGTGTTCTATTTCTATCCTTCAACACATTAAATATGAGCTAAATCACTATTGTATTATCCCATCAATTTTGTTGTTTCTTTGGAGAATAATTATTTTAGCATGGAAGCTTTATATAAGGTTAGGGCTGGGGACAAACCTGTTTTAAGCCAAGGTAGGGGTGGCTCAAAATTGAATTGTTTGAAATTAAATCAGACCTTGCATTGATCTTAATTGAATTTAAGCCGGCTTGAATTGAATGGGAGTGTCTTTGAGCTTGGCTCATTTTCAATTTGAACTGACTCGAAGTTGATTAAAAATTTAATTGAAAATTCCCATGATTTTGTTAAACATTACTAAACATGAAGTTTATGATTTATAATATCAATTTATGAAAAAAACCGAGCAATAAAAATATAAACTTAGAAATTAGATATAACTTGTTTCACAAATGTTTGAATTGTAATTACAATATTAATATCAATCAAACTTCAAATCAGACCCATTTCCAATTCCAGTTATGGATCTTAAGTTCTCCCTTCTGTGTGAAAGCTTAAAGTTTGTGAAACATCAATTTAAAAAAAATGAAGTAATTTAAATAAAATAATTATCACATAACAATTTTTTAAAAAAAGTATAATGCTATTAGAAAATTGAGATAATTAATGTAATTGTGGAATGAAATTTTAAAAAATAAAATTGCAATAAATATTGCAAAGCAAGGCAAGGTCAAACTCTAGTATCTAGCAAAGCATAGCCAACTTTCACTCTTTAGTGCTGCCGAAACACAGAACAACAACAAACTTCAAGATAGATCCCTGGCTCTTAGCAACGACTGGGCCATTAAATTAGCTAATACAATAAACTCTATCAGCCAAAAAAATTGTTATCAAGCAGCAAATAAAGATTAGAAAGGGAAAACTGTAGTCTTAAGGTATCATTGACCGAATTATTGTAAGTTATCATATTACAAAATATCACTTAACATCATAATATTCAACTCATGCTTAGATATGCTTAGATTTGTTGAAGTCATAATATTCAACTCATGCTTAGATTTGTTGAAGTTTTTTTTTTTTTTTTTAATTAGGGATATATAATCCAACATATATATGGCAATAAAAATTCAAGTAATGACAATTTCTAATTAGCGACAAGCAAATATGAAGAAAATAACGTTCAGACCAGTAACTATAATTCCGATTTTGATATAGTTAGTCCCTAGTCCACTGAAGTACTTATAATAAAGTGAGAAATTTAGAGTCACAAAATAAGGATAATGTTGTAAAAAGCAAGATAATTTGGCAAGGTAAATTGCATTAGTCTAAAGCAGTAGAAAAAGTAACAATCTTGAATAACCATACTATGTGCGATGAGTGCATAGAAGAATTAAGCTTGTCTTAAGGCATCATTGGCCAAATGATTGTAAATTATCATTTTACAAAATATCACTTACCATCATACTATTCAATTCATGCCTTCGATTTCTTACTGTTTTTTATTTATCAGTAGTTATATAATCCAACATATATATGGCAATAAAATGTTCTAGTAGTAACAATTCCTAATTAGCAACAAGAAAATATGAAAAAAATAACATTCAAATCAGTAACTATAGTCCCAATTTTTATATAGTCAGTCCCTAGTTCACTGAAGTACTTGTAATAAAGTGAGAAATTTAGAGTCACAAATTAATAAGAATAATGTAATAAAAGCAAGTTATTATGGCAAGATATAACTTGTATGCGTCTAAAGAAGTAGTTAAAGTAACAATCTTGAATAATCATACTACGTGCCATGAGTGCATAAAAGTTTTACACCTTCGGAATGTTGGTTTCAATCACTAAATTTCACCTACTCTATATGGTAAATTCTTTATCACAAGAATGCCATTTTGAAATAGAAATTAGATATTTTTTTACAACGAAGTTAAATATTATAGATGTGTTGCAATAAGAATTTGATAAGGTGATTGTAAAACTTACTGTTAGCTCTTTTGATGATGTGTGAGCTTATCAAATGTAATTTTTTGTGCATGAAGTGCTTTAAATGAAATAGAATTCCTATTCTCACCAAGGACATAACCACCATCAGTGAAGCTACTTCTGTGATTGGCGTGCTGAGAATATCTTTAGCCATTCTTGCGGTATTTTGCATCTTTTGGAGGACATTTTCCATCATTTGAATATCTCAAATTCATAATTTAGGCACTTGACTGAAACTTTATCTAATTTCAGTTCGGTTACATTTTTTGGCAATAGAAGCTCACTTGAGTTAATGAAATCATACAAACCAAAAACAACATCAACTGAATTATGATTGTTTTGTGGTTTCATCCTATCATTAACCTCCTTCCGGACATGATACTTTTTTTTGGCATTATAAGTGACAGCATAGCATATATTTTGATGTTGATGTCTGTTTGCAATTTGCTTTTAATCTGGAATGATTAGCCATGCTTAAGCCATACTCATTAGAACATGAACAAGTCATCATCTTTACTTGGACTTTTAGCCTATTTCTAGAGATTTTTTGAAACACTCATTATCTCATTTTTTTTAGACCTTTCTATATGTTCTTTCAAGCCCGGCCTAGTTTGAAAGCCTACTTCAATTTTTGTATACGTTGAATAGGAATTGACCTTAGAGTGATAGTGACCATAGGATCCGTTTGGATATAGAAATACCTATAGGAGTAACCTATTAATCATTCAAATCCAAGTCATCTTTAGTCTAAATCAATTCTATTTCAAATATGTTTGATCTTATCTTGTTCTGGGGTAGACTTCTTTCTAGGCGTAACTCTAATTTGTCACAATGAACCTATGGGGTTGTAAGCATTCAGATTTTTCTCATTGGTTCAACAACTTGTTCAAATAATGTAATTGATCATGAGATTCTTTGAGCTTGATGCCTTGACCTGTAGGGTGTGTTTCGGTCATTGATCAAACGAATCCTATTATACATGGGATTCTTGAGTTCGTTTGGTGAGTTTTAACCAAATGACGCAGCCACATCACCAAACGTCTTATATAGGGTTTACTTTGTCAAATTATATTGATTTGTCCATTGCTTATTATTGGAGTAGGCAAGACTCCTTTAGAACACCCTAGCTTAACTCAATAGGGATTCAATTAGGTCAATGTGAATTTAGACCTAGTAATTGGACAAATTTTTTCATAGACAATACCTTGAAAAAGTCCCAATAGGTCGCTACTTGCGAATAACCTAAAATAAAGCAAATTTATTTTTGGTAGGTTCAATTCAACCTTGTGACCCAATTGAATCCAAATTAACCTAGTTCATATGGGATTAATCCTATCAAAATTTGTATACGTCAAATCTTTGTTTGTTCTTTTTTGCAATCCAAGTTGAATTCTAGGTCAAATATATGAGTGTGATCTTTATTTTCTTTTGCTAAACCTGCTAAAGTGACCCACAGCTGCACCCGCACCCTCTATGTTGTTTGATAATATGAATCCCTAACCCGCACTATTGTTTTGTGATGCTAAAACCCAAGCCGCTATGCTATTTGCAATGTCGATCCCGACTTACCTTGCTACACTTCGCTTTGAAAGAGAGTGTGCCAGCACGCTTCTCGCTCGAGGGTACTCTTCGAATAAAATCTCCGTGCATTTATGATGCAAAGCAAATAGTTGGCTCTTCGCATTGCGTTGAGAAGTGTGCTTTAAGTGTCGTGCAATTAAAATCACTAGGTTGTTGTCTTAGGGGGCTCGGACTTGGGAATTTAATACGGAATGAGGTCATTGTGGTGATTGTTTTATTTTGAGCCATGCAAGTTTTGTCAAATGAGGAACTTGAAAAGTGAAGATTGAAGGTTTCAAACCTAGCCCTCTCGAATAACATTGATACTATGGACCACTTGGCAACTAAAATTTTTTATCAAAATATGATTAAATCAAATTATATATAAATTGCTATTAAATATTTTTTGAATAATATTATTTTTTTCAATTTGATTTCGAGTCTTATTGAGCCAACTCACTTGTGGTTCAAAACTGGGTAGAAAATAACAACAACAACCACAAGGCTTAATCCCCCTAAGTGAGGTCGGCTACATGTATCCTTTTTCTCCATTTTTCTCCATTATGTATCCTTTTTCTCCATTACGTCCTATTGAATGTCATATTTTTATTTAATTCTAATAAATTAAGATCAATTTTTATACAATATGCCCAAGTCTTTCTAAGTCTACATCTGTCTTTCTTAACACAGGTCGAATCCAAAACATCTACTCTCCTAATTGGATCGTCAGATGGTCGACATTTAATATGACTAAACCATCTAAAACGACTCTAATCTGCCACAGGAGTTACACTAACCCTATCACAGATATATTCACAGATATATTCATTTCATGATATATTCATTTCATGTTTTGTCTCTAAGTTTAAAGCCACTCATCCACCTAAGCATTCTCATCATGGCAACACTTAAATTAATTTTATGCTTCTCTTTTAAAGGCCAACATTCTGCGTCGTAGAGCATTGCAGATCTTCACCACCATCTTAGGAAATAGGTTTGATTACAATATCTGATTTATGGCTTGGCTTCTTGCTTTGGACTGAGCTTAATCTTTAGCTAAACATAGGATTGATTTTTGAGCTATCTGCGATGTTCTAGCTAAACTTGCGGCCTTACATGAGGACTTCTTGAAATTTTTTATTTATATTCCGTGAGTTGAGATACTACATTGAATAACTAGGAAAGTCTGGTACTAAAATGGATTCTTTTAAATAGTTAGGGGCCTTTTGAATTACTTCTCTCCAATTCTATACAAAATTTCAATATAATCTCATTCAGATAATGAAGTTGCAAAACTTTCCCAATCATTTTCAAAATCTTGCTTCAGAGCTCAGTTGTTTGCTACCACAATGTATACACCATGTTGCACTTGTATTCAATTACAGTGTAGATTTGTTTGACAAATCAATATCAGAATTTCTTTTAATATAGTTAGAGTTTGGGGAAGCTCGAGTTGTATTCATGATTCTTTTTTTGTGGACCTTGTTTTCCTGTTACTTCCCTGAAGTGTTTCCATCACAAACTTTCCTATCTTTTAACATGGATAAATTTGCTGAACTTTTTTAATCTGATGGTATGTATTTTTTTAATTTTCTCTTTTGTCAGGGTAGAGAGGGAATTGTTAAACACATGTACAAAGGTGTTTTTTTTATATATGATGAATGCCAAAGCGAAAACAATGGGTTCTTTTGTGCCAAGTCAGAGATATGTGATCTAGTGAAGAAATCACGTGATTTTGGCGGTGGAAAATTGGTATATTTTTTTTAAATCATTTGTTACAGTTTTGGCGAACTGTCACTAGCTTCTTGTCCTGTCCTGTTTTTGCAGAGTAGCAACGCAGGTCCCTCATTTGCTCAGTCACCAATCAGATCATCCGAGCAGGATGACAATTCTCAGAGCTGTACGCATCATATAATTTGCTTGAGTACTCAAATGAATTTTTAATGAGCTTCTAATTTATAATTTGCTTATCAGTTTCTAGAAATCATCAAAGCAACTCTCGAGGAACTTTTTCTGTTGGACAGACATTGAGAATTTGCAAAGGGCCTTTAAAGGGTTATCTTTGCCGCGTTATTCGGATATACCGTGCTGATGTCACTGTGAAACTTGATTCTCTAGGGAAGCTTCTTACAGGTTCTTTTGGCTTAAAGTTATATTATTTCAAACTTTGTTCTCTATTTTGTTCAATTTATAATTATTGGTACATCTGTCCAGTGGATGAAAAATTGCTATCTTTTCCAAATTCAAAGAGGTATTTTTTGCTACTTGCTTTTTGAGAAACATGCTTAACCGTTGTTCCTTCTTATCTTTTGATGTATCTTTATCGTTATACTTTCAAGATTTTGTATTTCTGATGCTTCGCTAATCGGGAATTTTCATAGGGATGATGCGACTACCATGCAATGCGACATGTTTGGATCTCAAGAAGAGCAGCCGATAGGTGGGTTTTTATCATGTAAATTCACCTTCTGGTGTGATAATAGCATTATGTTTGAAGATTATGATGCATACTTTGTTTTGAAAGGTTGAGGAACTATCCTTTAAATGTTTTAAAAACAGTGCTGAGAATATTTGATGAATATACCTTCAACACGTGTTGTCCTTTTGTGGATCCCTCTAATGCAAAATTTAAATCTTCTCTATCAGTTCATTAGGATTTAAATCCATTAGAATTTTGATTGTGTACGTAAATATTGACATTTTTTGGAATTTAAAATGATTTTATGTTGTTTACAAAGTAAATGTCATCTTTTGGAGTTAGAGGATGCTAGTTATTTCACTGATGGAAAGCCTTGAAATTTTTTGTCATCTTTTTGTCCAAGAGAATAATTTTGGATGTGTTAGTATAAGATACTTTGAAAAGTTGGAATAACTTATATTTGTAAATAGTTGGTTTTTGTTAGCTTGATGGTGTTTTTTTTCTAATGCAAAGATCCCATTTCTTTTCTTACTGTTAAAGGGAATTAATATTTGATTATAATCCAAAAAATTCCATATCTGATTGTGAATACATCTGGTGTTGTAACATATTCTTGTAACTGGTTCTATTGATAATGTTAATGAAATCCAAATACATCTGGTGTTGTAACATATTCTTGTAACTGGTTCTATGATAATGTTAATGAAATCCAAAAAAAAAAAAAAAAAGATAATGTTGCATATCAAATTTGGATATGATTATTATTTTAGGCTAATGCTGTAGGTATACAAATACTAGTGCAATTTTCTGATCTTTTCTTGGTGCTATTCAATACATTTTTAATGTTTTAAGGTGGCTTGCTTGATTCGGGAGGAGGATTTGGGATGGATAACTCATCATTTGGAAGGTAAATACTGCAACCTTTTATGTTACAAGTTTCTTGCAGGTCTATGCATTAAAGTTTTACATTATATTTATGCTATTCACTCTATTGTTTACTGTGATTTTAAATTCTAATGTTCATGTGTGCCTGTTAACTATTGCCTTCTCAGTTCTTTTGCAAATGTAACTGATCTGGGTTGATGCATTACTTTCTGCAAAGTCAATAATAATTATGATCAAATTATGCTATACTGGAAAGATGCCCCGAACACTAAATCCTGAAAGATTTTGTTTCCATTTGATAAAATGAAGGATGTGGAACTGATGTATGTCATACTTCAATTAATCCCACATTTTCTTAATTCTTTCGTATGTACTGCAGGGAGTCGTGGAATACGCCTTCCTGTTCCGGCTTCTCATTTTCTAGGGATAATGATTGCAAAGGTGTGATATATAATTTTATGATTTAAAGAATTTTGTTTTGCCTAGTTTTATCACGAAGTGCTTTTTTCCCTGCTGAGTAATTTTTGCGCTTTTGCTTTCTTGTTGCATTAAAATTTTGCTCAGCTTTTTTTACCATTAGCGTTTCTTGTAACATAAGTGTAAAGGCAGTTATGGCCTAAATTATTTTTCTTGGAAAACCTTGTGAGTATTCATTAATGGGGATATGTATGAATGCAGTCATTAATTGAAAAAATAAAAAATAGTATATGAATGAGGAATAATTTAGTTTTATGTGAAATGTTCATTCTTCAATAAATTGCCCTCTTACTTTTATTATCATTTGAATCTAAAAGCTGTATTGTCGACTCCCATGTTTTCTATCTTTATGGATTTGACATGAAAATAGTCATCTTTTTTTAAATCTGGTCTAAAGATGAAGACTTTTTTTAGCATTGATATCGTGGTTCATTGATTTCAAAAGATTAGGGAGCATATATGATGGGAATCGAGGAAGAGGTTCTGGTAACAAAGGAAAAGAGACCCAAACCGCGATAATAACTTTCATTAGTAGAGAAATAGGGTTACAACACATGCAAACTGAAAATAACATCACCCCAACATAAAATGATGAAACAAACACCTTGAAAGTGCATCCCAAGGGCGGTAGAGGTTGGCTAGATGGATCGGGATGGCTGGCGCAGGTGGCGGCAGCAAAGATGGAGTGTTGGGCTACATGTTTGGCTGCAGAACAGCGAGCTGAGGGGCTAGACAACAGGTTTGGAGGCTGGAAAGTCGGTTGGGAAAGGTTCAGGGTGGCCAGCTAAAGCACCGCCACTTCCTCAGATACAACACACAAAGGGGAAAAGTACTTCGCACAGGAATCTGAAGTCAACACAACGAAAAACTTCCTAGACTCTTAGCAAACCAGTATACTCGGAATAGCCCTATCCAGGCGGGAAACAAGAAATGAAAAAAGAGCGTAAAGGAAAAAGGAAGAAAAGGAAGCTCCTACAAAGGAAGGGATGGGAATACTTAGAATAGCCATTAAAATGCTTCCATGTGAAGAAGAAGCGGAGAAGGAAGTGAAAGAAAAGCGTGGAAGGCCGCTCGCCCTGTCAGAAGCATCCCCAATTGGACCAGTCGGGCCGGTCCACTACTCCCGCTTGCCCGGGGGCCCTCATGCTCCCGGTTCTCGCTGGCACGGGATTGTTCCTCCACCCACCGCCATTGTCGTCGCCCTAGGGTGTCCTTTTATGTTCATATTGTTATTTCCCTTTTGTTTGAGTCATTGTTTATAACCCTAATGAATTTCAGTAATAATATTTGTATTTCATTTTGTTTCGGTTACCTCCGGTGCCTGTGGTTGTCTGCATTTTCATAGACATTCCCTTCATTGGTGACCAGCCACAACAATGTTTTAATAAAAGGAAATTTGTAACAAAGTCAGCCGACTATGAACTCCATATTAACATTCTCTCAAGTTCAAATATTTTTTTATCTCACTAATCATTAAAGCCATGAATTCTATAGGCCAATTGCTAACAAGAGAAGTACTTAGAATACCTTGGCATGTCTATGAATTTACAAGCATCTGACTGTAATTTCACTTCGTCTCGGTGGCTATCATTCTTTTCCTAGAAAATTGATTATAAAATTTATCGAATTTTTCAGTAAACTCAATCAAGAGAGTAAAATGAAAGAATTACCAAGTTGATGATGTTAATAGAGTCGTGCATATTCAATGACTTATAATAAAAAAATGATAAAGTTTAGGTATGATGTAGTTAGAACTTAGAACCCAATGGACTTCTATTAGTGATTGGAGAGGCCTGTAAATCACCATGACCATCAAGCCTTTTCTAAAACCTCTTTCTTCTATTTTAAAAGAAAAAAAAAAATCAAAATGGTCCCTCAACCATTTTCAAAGGGCTAAATTTGTTCCAGACTATGTAAAAAGCCAATTTAATCCCCAGGATCTATAAGTGGGGACTAAAATAGTCCTGTCAGAGGACTACTTTTGTTCCTATCTAAATAGTTGCGGACTAAGTTGTCATTTTATATAGTCTTGGATGATTGGCCCTTGCAAATAATCTGGGGATCATTTTTGTCTTTTTTTTTTCTTCGCTTGAAAATCCTTCAAAATTCACAACAATTATAAAATTGAGGTTCTTTTTCTAGGTGGTCTAAAATGTATCAAGATTGCTTAGGTAATTTTACATAAACATTTTAAATGTCATAGTCTAATCATAATTTTCATCATCTTTAATAATTTGAGTAATTATTTTAGGGGCTAAGTTAGTAGAAAATAATGCATTAATAAAATTCTTATGTCAGAGTTTTGAAAATATTTCAAGGCAATCCCAATTTTTCAGTGAGTGTAATAATCTCTAAGGATATTTAGGGTTGACTGCCTGATATCATTATGATTGAATTGTAAAATGTTCTTTGTAAGCCATAGAACATGTTGATGTCATTAAAATATGTTTTAATTGACTATGTTGTGTTTTTGGTGCGGTATCTTTCTTTGGGTTGGGTTCTCCCGTCATTGAGTTCTTGGACCTTAAAAGTAAAATAATTCACTTTGAGGTGACCTGTCAACATCTTTCTGGTTTTTAATTTTTTTAATCTCCGATTGGATATAGATTTTGGTGTGGGTAATTTCTCTCTGATTTGTTTCTTTATGATATTCATTTCGTTGATATAGAATCTAGGACTTCATGGATGAGTGGCCCCCATAACATCAAATCTCTTCTAGCACAGGCTCTTGGAGCTTGGAGTGATATACTCTACCTTATGTAAGCTTAAATTAAAAGGAATTTGTTATGAAATATGTTTATAATTCAGAAGTTGAATATAGAGAGTTGCACAAAGCTATATACTGGCCTTAAATAAAGAAAGTTATTTCGAATTTACCCATACAAAGCTTCTTATTTTGCTAGAAACTGGTATTGTGCTTGTTGTGGATCTTCCCTGAGGAGATAACGAGGTTGTAATTATTTTTTTTTTATGTAAATTATTTTTTTTTATGTGCGGCTTTTCATTTCCCATAATGGAGAAAATGTCTTGTACGAAAAAAACATATAACTTTGTTTCTGACATCTTAGGACGGAAAATTTATATCCTTGGTATAGCTAAAAATCGTGTATTAGGCGACCAGTGCGTTCATTTGGTCTTTTGTTCTTAGTTCCACGCATTTTCCCCTGTTTTCTAGCTTTATACTGTCTAAATTTGTCTTCAAAAATTTCCCAGATCAAAGTGCAGTTGCTGACCAGTGGGGAAGCAAACCGACATTTCAGGATGGAGGTGATTCTAATTTAGGTTCAAATTCTTGCTGGTCTATGTGTGTATGATATATTTATATTTTAAGCTTAAGCACTTGGTTTGATTCAGATCAAGATCATGGAGCTGCAAATAGTTGGAGTAAAGCTCCAAGCTCCAGTGCCGAGCAGAGGTCATGGAATAAAATGGTAAGTGGGGAGAAAGGTGCAGATGCTGACTGCGAAAATGATGCTGATGCGTGGAATAAGGCTTCTAATAAGGGCGAAACTTCAACTGGTGGCTGGCAAGGTGATACCTCTGTTCAGAAAACAGGCCAGACCTGGAGCACAAAAGGTAACAAAATGCCAAGTGAACAACTCCTTAGAAACAGGATTTATGTTCATTTGGATGAATGAACTGATGATAATGCACATTTTTCATCGTTATTTTAGGCGCCAGTGGTGGCTTGGATGGTGCTGTTCACACTGCTGGCGAAGGTGTAAGTGCTGCAGGTGGCTGGAGCAAAGCTGCCCCAGATTCTAGAGAGGCCCTAACCTTTGGTAAAACAATAAAATAATGGGGCATTTGCATAAATACCACCCAATTCTTATGAATTTACATATCTAACCCCTAAACTTTACTTGTTACATTTATACCACTCAAATCCTTCTAGTCACATCAAAACTACCACCATTTTGACTTTTTAAAGTAAAATACACCTTTTTGTGCATAGATAAGATTGCGGGTGTAAAAATTTAAGCTTGTGTTTTATATGTAAGTACATAGAATTGAGTGGTATGCATGTAAATCTTCCTAAAATTATACAATATCTATGATAAATTGAACAGCGAAACCCTGCTCTTAACATTTCTGTTAACATATGCAGGCGAAGATGGTTGGAATAGAGCAGCATCCAAGCCTCAGACTGCAAGCAATACTGACGCTAGTGGATGGGAACAGACGAAACTTGCAAGTTCTGATGCTGGTGGAAGCTGGAATGCCCAAGGTTCCTTTTAAGTTTATTTAATATTAAATTTCATTAGTTATATGTGAATCGTGTCCTATGGAACCTCATCTGTTATCCTGAATGGCTGACAGTTTTTGCTAAGAAAAACGAGATGATATCATGATACTTTGCTTGAAAAGAGAAAAAAATGCTTGCAGGTGCCTCTGCTGGCTGGAGCAAAGAAGCTAGTGGAAAGGACAAATCAGATGGTTTTGTCGGGAAATCGGGTAATTCAGCTTCTCCAAAGAGTGGTGGTGATAATCTAGATTCATGGGGCATCAAGGGAAAAGCTTCACTTGAAAATAATGACGATGGCTGGGGTAAATCTGCCCCCTCTCAAGTCACAATAACTGCTCCTAACAATCCATGGCAGAGCTCTTGCAATAGTTCGGTACACAGTAAAGCATGGAAATCCCCCTCTGCGGATGAGAATCAAGCAGCTGGTTGGGGCTCGTCGCCATTTGAATGTGCGGCTCAAACTAGCAGTTGGGACAAAGTAAAAACTGTTCCAACTCATATTGACACTGAGAAATCTGCAACTGAAATAGGAGGCTGGAAGAAAGCTACGGATGGAAACCAAGCTGCTGGTTGGGCTTCTTCTGCTACACCATCAGACGGAGATGGAAGTGAATCAAACAGCTGGAATAAAGTGAAAAGTCTTCCAAGTTCTAGTGGTTGGGAGAATTCTAAGGCAACAGCAACTGAAACAAGTGGAGGATGGAAGACAACCACGAATGGTAACCAAACATCTGGTTGGGGTGCTTCTGCAATGCCTTCCGCGCCATCTGCTGAACTCGAAAGTCAAAACAGTAGTTCGGGCAAAGTAAACATCTCCTCAAGTTCTAGTGGATGGCAGATATCTAATCAAGCAGAAGGATTCTCTAGTGAAGGTCAAATAGACAGATGGAATAAAGAGAAATCATCTGATGGGAATCAGACATCTGGGTGGAACAAGGCAGGCAATGCTGAAGGAGGGAAGGATATATGGGCAACTAGCTGGGACAAAGCAAAAGGTTCTGAGGGAAGTGGTTTCGGTCAACAAAGTCAAGGAGAATGGAAGGCTGGGGATGATTGGGGTAATAATACTAATTTTGGCAAACCGAAGGATTCTGATTCGGGTCAAGGGTCAGGTTGGTCACAAGGAAATATCAATAATGAAAATGGTAAGAATTGGGAGGGTCATGGCAATAGTTGGAACCAGCAGAAGGATTTTGAAGGCGGAAGAGGAGGATCTAATAATTGGGGAAGAGGAAGAGGTAGATATGGTGGAAGGGGCGGTAGAAATGAAGATAATTTTCAGAAACCAAGTGATTCTGATGGAGGCTGGAGATTTGGAAGGGGTGGAAGTCGCGGCCGAAATGGAGCTGGTGGTTACAATCGAGATAACTGCGGTAGAAGAGAGTTTGGTCGTGGCAGAGGCCGTGGCCAAGGTCGAGGCCGAGGGCAGGATCAGGGTCAACTTGAATCGTCCGGCTGGAGAAATGGACAAGAAAGATTCAACGGGGGCTTTTCTAATAAACCCTCGTCTAGTTGGGGCACCACCGAAGTTGGTGGCTGGGGCAATGGTGGGAACAAATATGATGGTGGTAACATACCTGCGTGGGGAACTGCTCCTCAGGATGCTGGTGGAAGTAAAAATGACATGAATGAGGACCATACTTCTAGTTGGAGCAAGGGTGTAAACTCTAGTAGACAGACAGACAACTGGGGCAAGGAAACGAGAAATAATGACAATTGGAACACTCCTAAAACCTTTGAAAATAAACATACTGGCTGGAACCAGACGAACGATGATACTTCTACAGATAGGGATGAGATGAAAAGTCTGAATGCGTCGAATTCTTCTGAACTTACATTAGCAGATTGGGGTCATGGCCTGCCTGAAAACAAAGGTGCTACAAATGATGAAAAATGGACTAAACCTAAATCCAGTCCTGGCGACCACTGCGATACATTATCAGGTAAGTTAAACTCAAACGATTGTTGGGAAACTGCTACACTGAACAAAGAAAATGAAGCAGGTGGGAGTCAAGGTGGGTGTAGTCAGAAAGTGGACACTCAGGCAAGCCAACCATCTTCTGAGCCTGATAATAACTGGGGAAAATTCAAGGAACCTAGCTCTGATAGCACAGCTGGGAATATGGGGAGTTCAAAAGATTGGGGTGGTAAGAACTCAGCAAACTGGGATTCCAAGACAAAACCAGCTTCTAACCCTGGTAACTGGGGTGGGAGGGATTTTTCTGGCAACCAGACAGCTGATTGGAACAATGGTGGGGTCAACAAATGGGGCCAGCAAAGTGGGGATCAGGTTAAGTCTGAAAGTTGGAAACGTGGGTCAGATTTTGGTCGTGGTGGCGGAAGAGGGAGGAATAATTCGTTCTCTAGAGGTCGCAGTTTTGAAAGAAATTCAGGTCGTCATCATTCTCGTGGTTGGATTAGTAATGATGATTCTAATAAAGAGAGTAATTATGCTGGGGGTGAATCATTTAATAATTCAAACGAAGATATTAAAACTGGGGGGAGCTGGAGTGGGGGAAATGGCACCTTTGAAGCTGAAAAAAGCAGTTGGAATAATGGAAGGAAATCTGAAGGAGAAAATCAAGCTATGCATGGTTCTGGGTGGGTACCCTCAGCTTCCTCATCGATCAACAAGATTGAGAGCTCGTCAGGCTCCTGGAATCCAGGGAGTTCTAAAGGTTCGAGCAATAACAACGACTCAACCAACTTAGATTGGACTTCTAATGCATGGGATTCTAAGTCAGAAACTTTGAGTCGTCGCTCTGATTTCGGTGGGGTTGGCGGAGGAGGAAGGGACAACTCGTTCACTAGTAGTGATCGCCTCGGAAGAAATTCCGGCGGCCGTGGTTATGGTAAACAAATCAATGATGAGCGGCAAGCATTTAATTCAAACCAAGAATTCAAAGCTGGGGGTGGTTGGAATGGTGGTGGAAAAGCTGAAAAGGGCTCGTGGGGCGGCTGGAAATCTGAGGGAGAAAATCAACCTGCTGGTCAAGCGAAGCCCAGGTCGGAGGATGAAAGCAGTTGGGATTCACCAACAGGATTTAGTAGCAACAAGGCATCTGGTGGCACCAACAGTGGCGAGCAAAAGAATGATCCGTGGGCTTCGACAAATGCTACCAGTAAAACGGGACAAGATTCCACCATGGGATCATCGGACGAAAAACAGAAGCATTGTTTAGCCGAGAGTTATCGAGTTGGATCTTCGGATACAAATAATTCGCAGATCGAGGATGGAAATACGAAGAAATTAGGTTCAGGTTGGACTTCTGGAACAGAAGGGTCTCTTGCAGGTCAATCAGGAGCTCCCAAATGGGGAAGTAGTTGGGTTCGGAAAGATGGAGATCAGAGCAATTCTGGCAATGGAGGAAATTCAGGTTGGTGATGAGCTGCTGATAATATGTGACTTGTGATCATGATGAAGAGAAATCTATCTATATATGTTAAGTGTTTTATTCAACTTCTCTATTTTTATCTTAACTTTTGCTACTGTGGTAAGGTGGATTAAGTGCTTGTACTTTTTTATGTTTTCGTCTTTATTTTGACTGACTTTATATCTTCATATGACTTCTTTTAATGTTCTCAGCTTTCCCTCCATTTTTCAACACATTTAGCCTATTCGTCCATTAACTCTCCTTTCATAGCCAAGGTTGGGGCGTATTGGAGGCACATTGAGAGTGGGGACTTGTGGGTTGAAGTCGGCGAGACGATTGGGTTTGATTTAGGGGTGTGTTAAAAATTGATCCGACTTGCCAACTCGACTTGAATCTAACTCGAAAAATATGAATTCAAATTGGCTTGATTAATATTTGGGTCTGGTGAATTTTGGTTCCAAGCCCGAATTCAATTCATCACCTTTATGTTTGATGAAGTGGATGGAAGCTTGAGAGATTATGGGTTTCGGGAAGGAGAGAATGAGATTTGTGTTTCGTGGCCACCGTCCATTGTGCACAAGTTTGATCATGCAACACTTCATGAAGGAACTAGTGATAGTATTAGATATGATCATGTTGTGTAGGATTTTTTTTTTTTGTGATTTAATGGCTTTAAGTGTTATATTTTAGTAAATATGAAGTGTAATTAATATCTAATTATTTACTATTAAACTTAGGGTAATATTATTAAGGGGGGCATTTACATACGTAGAACACGATTATTGTAACATTATGTATCTCACACTTAAATTGTCATATTTACACACATCACTTGATTCTGTAAGTTCACATCAAAAATAGCATATTTTTAAAAGTGAAATATATCTTTTCAAGCATAGGGTTAAAATATTAAAATTTTATGTATTAATATAATTAGCTCATAAAATCATCTGATGAGCTGATAATGTTGATGATAGCATGCAAAATTGATTGTTCTGGTGGTGATTTTGTAAAAAAAAAAAAAAAGGATTTTTAATCCAATTAATAAGTTTTTTAAACTTGCACGCAAATATATAAATATATAAATGAAAATGATATGAAAAGTGCTAAATATTATTTAAAAAGTTTCATATATATATATATTGGGCCCAAAACTTTAAAAAAAATTATTTTAATTATCTCATTTATTTTAATATATCCTTTGTGATTTTATATATTTAGAATTTATTTTTTGAAATGTTATTTAAAATGATAAATTCATAAAGAATAATGTTTTTAAAATTTAACATGTGTTTAGGGATAGCTTAGAATTTATTGTGTTTTTCTTTCATTTCAAAATTAATTGGTAATAATTAGTAACTGAATTTTTTATATTTATACGTAAGTATATTTTTAGAACTATTTATTTCTCAAGTACATGATACGGAACAAATCGAGTGTTGGATGAGTTACTCAGTTTGGGTCGTTAAGAGGTCTTTAATGTTCGTTTAATTAACTGATTGGACAAATTTGAAGGCCTGAATAAATACTTAATTGTTAAATGAATAAGTTTGAACAATATTTTATTTGATTTAATTATGTTTCCAAACAATATTTTTTTAAGCTCGCGAACAAGGACGTTAAAAAGCTTGATGAACAATTTCATTTAAAATTTATGAATAAGTTCATGAATAAGTTTGATGAAGTTTAGGGTTTAGGGTTTAGGGTTTAGGATTTGTGAATAAAATCAAGTAAAGCTCAGCTTAAAATTTGTTTATATTAAATTAAATTAATTAAATTTTAATTTATAGTACATAAAATAAAATATATTAATTTGTTTAGTTATCTATTTATTTTGTTATTCATTCAAAAGTTAGTTTGTTTTTTTTTGGTAAAATCAACATGCAATTCCTTTACATGATGGATAAAGTTTATTTGATTAAAAAAATGTAGCTAAATCAAACTACTCATTATTTTATTTAATAAGTCTCATTTGGTTAATAAGTAGCACAATAGCATTAATTTTAATTTACTCAATAAAAATTATCTGGATATAAATTAAATAACTCAATAATATTACTCACTAATCTACTTGATAATGTCTTGATTATCATTATATGAAACGAAAATGAATCAAACTAAAACAATCACAATGATAAATGAATTAAGTTTGAATAGATACATAAAAGCTTGATTTGAGTTCAAGCTTGAACATAATTCCAAAAGCTCAAATTTTATAAACAAATTTAAACTTGAACATAACCCTTCTCAACTCTGCTTGATTTGTTTGTAGTCCAATATATTAACGAGGGGCTTACCCTGGGATTGAACCAAACCACTGAATCGGATCAACAAGGGGTCTTATAGGAAGTTGGTCCTGATCAGGGGCTAGGGTTGTTGTTGAAATCAGGGAGGTCACCCTTGGTTACCTACTACTATTTATATGTGCTTTCTATGTTAAAAGTTTAGTTATTGTTGTGTTTTCTGTCAGAATAGTAGTCGGTGTCTCCAGTTTTTACTCTTAGGGATGAATTTGAGAATAAGTGGTGATCCGGTTGTATCTCACTTCGAGACTTTCCTATCCTCTGTGATAAACCCTCACTGCTCTCCTTCGTCTATTCCTTTCTGTTGACCCTGCAAATCTTCATATCTGCCAGCTGCTACCACCTAACCCCCTTCTACCAGCCTGTTGTGGCCAAGTTCTCCCACCCTCTCTGTTGGTTGCCACAACCCCCATCTCATACCTCCTATTACATGTCGTCGAGCTAACCTACTGACCTGCTCGTCGATTCCCCATTCTAACTGCCAACCTACTGGTTACCACTTTTCCCCTACCTTCCTACTTGCTAGCCAGAACAAGCAACGACCCTTCTCCTATTGGTTGACGCATTACATCCTTCCACCTGCTTGTTGGAACCCTTCCAACCCTCTCCAATCCTTGTTGTCCAGCCACCAAGCAGCCTCGCCTTAGTTATCCAGGGGCCACTCGACCACCTATCGCTCTCATCGTCCACCTCAACTGCAGCACATCCCTTTCCATCCTTGCCCTAGGGTGTCTTTATGTTTGATTATTTTCTATCTTCAAGACATTTGTTTGTAACCCTTTTAAATTTCATAATAATATTCACATTTCTATTTTGGCTTGGGTTAACTTTGATATTTATTGGTATCATAACTTTACTTAATCCTAGTAATATTACGGGGTTTCCTAATATCCGCCTTACCCTCCACCAAAAATTTTCTTTCGTATTCCCAAACCATAGCAAACTTTGACCTAAACTTATGTCCATTTTCAAAATTAGCTACCCTAAATCAATTTTTACACCCTCTTTCATCTTCCAACTTTAAACGCTAGTCATGCTACCATGGAGATACATGTCTGAACGTACCCAGGGAGAGATACAATGAGATATTCCTTGACTTCAGCAGATACTTGTGAACATTGAGGATGAAACCTAAGGGGGGGCTTGCCCTCGATGTTGACAGGGAAAGTCGAAGAGGCAAAATAGACAAGAATTTCAACCCTTTCCATGGGAAGGATTTGAGTGATGTATAAGAAAAATCACAATGTTTTGGAATCAACTATCAGAGAAGGCCGAGAAAAGAGGTCATGTATGGAGAACACATGGACTTCAGAATAAAGGTGAATCTACCATAGTTCGATGGAGGTATGGATCCAAGCAAATTTATTGAATGTCTATAATCAGCAAAGAATTTTTTTTAGTACAAAAAGGTTCCATAAGTTAAAGGTGTGAAGTTTGCAGTTATCAAATTGATAAAAAAAGCGTCCTTGTGATGGGAAAACTTGCAAAGGCATGGGAAGAGAAAAAGCAATGACAAGATTAAGTAGTGAGAGAAAATGAGGAAGATGTTGCAAAGAAAATACCTACCTCCTCACCACCACCAGGATATGTTTCTGAGAGTACACTACCTGCAATAGAGAGATTTATCAGTGGATATGCTTCTTGATGAATAAAGTTAAAGCTTTCCCAATCCCGGGAGACATACACGAGGCTTACTTTGGGATTGAATTGGACTATTGAACCGATTCAGCAAGGGGTCTCATAGAGAGTCGGTCCTTGTGTGTTTTCTTTGTTTAAGGTTTTGTCTTACAGGGTTTTTTTGTCAGGACAACCGTTAACGTCCGCAGTTTATTGTTTTAAAGTTGTATCCAAGAACGAGTGGTGCTCCGATTATATATCGCTCCAAGATGATGGTTATCCTTGACTTCCACATCCTCTGTAACCTGCCCGTGCTACTCTCTATCGCTTTTTCCCTCCTGTTGACCCTGCAAACATTCATACTTAACAGCTTCTATTGCCCAACCCCCTCCTTCCTACCTATTGTTGTCGCCAAGTCCTCACACCCTCTCTATTGGTTGTAAGAACCCCCATCTCCTATCGCCTGTTACTTTTTGTCAATCTAACTTGCCAACCTACTCATTGATTCCCCGTCCCACGCGCCAACCTGTTGGTTGCTACCTTTCCCCATCCTTCTTACTGCAGTCCAGAACAAGTAGTCACCCCTCTTTTGCTAGTTGTCGCCTTCCATTCTACCTTCTTTTTTACCGCTCTTTCCAACCATACAACCTCCCCTTGGCTATCCTGGGGTTGAACCGGACCACTGAACCAGTTCAGCAAGGGGGCTCATAGGGAGCTGGTCCTTGTCGGGGGCTAGGGTTGTCGTTGAAGTGAGACTCTTTTTTTTTTAATTAAAAGTGATATTTTTTTTTAATATAAAATGATAGATTTGGGTGGCATAAATGTAAAAAGTAAAGTCTAATTGTATGATATGTAAATACATAGGAATTGAGTGAGTACGACATGGGTTGAGAATGACTTGGTTGAATCATAAGTTCATGTTTAGTTCGAGCTTGAGTTGAGCTTTCACATGTATATTGGTACTTTGACTTAATTTATAATGAACATAAATGATTTATTGCTTTGTGTGTTTATGCAAGCCACTTATCCTACATTTTGTGTTTATGAAAATAAATAAAATAAAAATAAAAATCTGATCTATTTATAATAATTGAACAAAAAATTAGAATGAGTACTTAGTTTTATAATTTTTCTTATAAAATTAAAAATATTTTATGCCTAGTTTTTCATATAAAATTAATAAACAAGTTTAAGAAGTGAATAAATGCTTTGTTTTTTATATACAATTTTTAACAAATACTTTTAAATTTAAAATAATAAGAAATAAA